GTGTGTGTGTGTGTGTGTGTGTGTGTGTGTGTGTGTGTGTGTGTGTGTGTGTGTGTGTGTGTGTGTGTGTGTGTGTGTGTGTGTGTGTGTGTGTGTGTGTGTGTGTGTGTGTGTGTGTGTGTGTGTGTGTGTGTGTGTGTGTGTGTGTGTGTGTGTGTGTGTGTGTGTGTGTGTGTGTGTGTGTGTGTGTGTGTGTGTGTGTGTGTGTGTGTGTGTGTGTGTGTGTGTGTGTGTGTGTGTGTGTGTGTGTGTGTGTGTGTGTGTGTGTGTGTGTGTGTGTGTGTGTGTGTGTGTGTGTGTGTGTGTGTGTGTGTGTGTGTGTGTGTGTGTGTGTGTGTGTGTGTGTGTGTGTGTGTGTGTGTGTGTGTGTGTGTGTGTGTGTGTGTGTGTGTGTGTGTGTGTGTGTGTGTGTGTGTGTGTGTGTGTGTGTGTGTGTGTGTGTGTGTGTGTGTGTGTGTGTGTGTGTGTGTGTGTGTGTGTGTGTGTGTGTGTGTGTGTGTGTGTGTGTGTGTGTGTGTGTGTGTGTGTGTGTGTGTGTGTGTGTGTGCTCATTTCGGCATGGGTAGAAACATTCATACTTGGCATCCAAGTACAGCTTTAAACTTTGACCCATGGGTCACCCGACTCGGTCAGAATGAGGACAGCCATTTCTTCAAACTCTCGAGGATGCCGAATCTTAATCCACAATTCGTAGTGGGACCAAGAACAAGGAAACCTCTTCCCGTGTTGCATGACTGATCCCAGGTTACTTTGTTGGGGTGGCCCAACAAGTGGCGCTTGCCGAGTGTGCAATCGCGTCATGACTCCTGTTCGGGCTACATCTTGAGGTGGATGCAACCCCTAACTGGGCAAGCCATCAACATAATCCCATGCACAGGGTATCGTTGGATCCACAAAGGTCATTCATATGCTGCTACATGCCCCAGCTGTCTTCGAACAAGCCCTTCTCCCCGCAAAGAAACGGAGCCATGTTCATGTACTGATTCAGAGCCGTCTCGCAAGAGCCATTGCAGCCCCCTGGCGCGGCTGTGAATCAGCCGTACACCTGGGCCACTGATTGGACTGCCAGGCCGCTGGTACATCACCTCCGTCTCCCACCAGTGCCCACTCTTCGCCTGAAGGAACAAATTGGCAACGGGTGAGGTCCATGCTGCTGGAACGGCTGTGCTCGGACATGAAGCATAAGCAAAATGTACACAGAGTTAGTACATCATTGGTTGAATGTGTACATGCATATGTATGTTTTCACATACACATTGTCACATGCATATACATGTAATGTAGATAGATGTGTGTACGTGTTATATATAATGTATATGTGAATCATACATGTTTTCCAACAAAATATGATAATTGTTGCTTCCAGTCAACACTGACGGATACTATGTCATGTCACATGCGTGAACCTCAACTTGATGCCGAGTCATGACCGCCCTTAGCAACTGCTTCGGCTGTATTGCTCAAAGGCGTCTTCGGAATCCCAGGGCATTGACAACTATTTGTGAATCAGAACAATCTACTACCTCTTCTCCATTCTTCCGGTCCATGGCCACGTTGCAGCAAAAAGTAGAAACCCCCGCTGGGAGAATGAATTATCTTTGTTGTACCCAGCAAGGCGGGAAAGGATGGAGATGGTTTGAAAAAAGTCGTGCCTTTCAGTTCTGTGTAGAGGGGCGTCCAGGTTCATCTCCGCACTCTGCCCTTCTCCCCGTCCAACCCCTCGGCCTCAGCCAGGGCCAGCAGCAAGAGCAGCGCTCTCACCGACGGCATTGCGGCGCCTTTAAATTTAGGGGAAGACAGACGGCGCCAGTCGATCCGTTTCTCGATCCCGACAAGGAGAACAAAGTCCCCGGGCACTCGTTTGTGGAGAATCTCTCACGGGAGCTTCTCTGGCTACTGAAGCCACTTCGAGCCGGGCAAGCGGGCATTTAGGGGTTTGCCAGGCTCTCCTCGAAATCACCCTCGGAGAAAAACACGGGGAGATTTGGGAATCCCCCAGAAGAAGACCTTCATCCTGGGTTTGACCTCGCTTCAGCCCCGGCTCGCGATCTGGCATGTGTGGAAGTTGGCAAAACCTTCCTTGCCAAACCTCTGAGGATTTTCCCAAGCTGCAAAGGGAAAAGGATCTGGACCAAACCCAAAGGATACCCCCCAAAAAAACACCCAAATGGCTGTCTCATTGCGTTCAGGAGCCTTTCAACCGGTCTTTTGCAAGCCTTCCAAGCTCAGGCGAACACACAGCGAACCCCAGTTGAGAGCAATGTCGGTCAGCCGAATATGATTGGATGAGCGGAAAAGCGCTTGGCAATGACACTTGCCTTTGTTTTCTTTGGGGTTCGGTTTGGGATTTGTTTGTTTTGGGATGAGTTCTGGCTGGCTTGGGAGTCTGCTTTGGGATCGGTTGGCTCGGCTTGGGATTGGCCTTGGTTTGGTTTGGGATTGGTGGGTGCTCTTTGGTTTGGAGTCCATGGGGCCCATGCACATCCAACTCCAGTGAATATGATCGAGACACAAAGGGATCAGTGACATCCTTTGCCACAATTTGTTGGCCACCCCAGCCCAAGCAAAACAGCAGGCAACAGTCCTCAGAAAAGAAAACCGGAAATTCCCACTTAGCTCCTGCAAACGCCCCCGCGCGCGAGGGGAGGGGACAAAACGCCCAACCCCGACCGCTTTTTTGTTGGGGCCAGGCTCATGGGGGAAGCGGATGAGCTGGCCGGGCTTCACGGAGGCCTCGGCAACAACGCGCAGACTCAGCTGGCTACGGGAAACCCCCTGCAGGAAATGTCCGTATAAGTTACCAGTAGGGCCGGCGAAGCCGGGGGGTGGACATCTCAAAATCGACGCAGTTGTGTCCTTGTTCTCTTTCTCGGTCTCTGCGTCTGTCTCTCTCTCTTGTTCTCTCTCTTTCTCTTCTTGTTCTTCTGCTTCTCTTCTTGTTCTTCTGCTTCTCGTTCTCGTCTTTCTCTTTCTCTTCTTTCTATCTTTCCATCTGTCTATTTACCCTTCGATTTATTCATCGATGTAGTCTGTCAATCTATCCATCCGTCTACGTATGACATCTGTCTTTCAACTTGTTTGTCTATCTACCTACTCATCTGTCTATCCAGCTGTCTAACCCATTGAACCTAATCCACCCGAACAAGCTACCCTTAGCTACAGCTAGCCCAGCTGTCCATCTATGTATCTATCTATCTATCTATCCATCCATCCATCTATCTATCTATCTATCTGATCTGTCTACTCATCTATCTGTATTTTTGTCTGTCTTTCTGTTGGTCTGTCTATCTAACCTGTATGCCTTGAGGTTGCAAAAGCGCGGCGCCTTCTGAAAGCACTGCGCCTGCCACGACATCTAGACATGACCCTGCGAAAGTGCTGCGCCTGGCGCGTCGTCTGTACCTAACAAGGCGAAAGCGTTGCGAGCCCGTTGCGAGCCCCCTCCGACCAGCTTACTTTTCGGACCTCCCCGCGCGCACATGTTTTTCTCTTGCATGCTTATCATTATCTTGTCTTCTGTCAGAAAGCTTGCTCTCAATTAGAAAGTTCCTTCTAAACTTCATTTGGTTCCATGTTGATCTGGACGGCAGCAATCCCTATGACCCCGCTGTTTTTGAAGGGAATCCCCCAGTTGTCTAATGACCGGTTTGGAGGCGAAAGGGAGCCCTCTTTCGGGGTGACCCTTTTCTAGAGCGGAACATACTAAGGGGATTTCGTACCAATGATTTAACACACCAAACAATTTGGGGACTATACTTTTTTGACCCTGACGCCTTGTTGCTGGGACCACAAACCAAAAGGTAACCTGGAGGTCCAAATGATCGGTTGGTGGGGGAAAAAAACGAACCGGTCCTTAACCACACGCTGAAGCCAGCTGGGCCCTGAGCAGGGCGCATGTCTGTGAAGACCGGCACTCCGTAGTCCTCCACCTCAAAGTCCTGGCAACACAAAAGGCCTCCCCGTTGTCACTTGTCAAGCTGGGGCTTGGAAGGGTACCATCCGCTGACCCAGTCGAGGGCTTGCCAAGCCCCAAAATGACACACGGACATGGGAAAACTGGTGGATTTGGGTTTCTCCGCACTCCTCGACTCCAGCCCAACCAGCGTTTGTTCCCTTTGCTTGACTCCAAAACAGAATCCGGCCCATAACAGGTGGACCAGGCACAAGACTGGTGAGCAACAGACAAAATTGCGTTGTCACCACAGTGCCCCTGCTTTGTGCACAAAGTGTTGGGTTGTCCGCCAATGTCCTCCCCAAACCAACAGTACACTACCGAATCATGGCGTCTGTTGTTGGCATTTGGGAGTTTCTCTTTCTTCCCTTTTTAACTTCCTTCCTTTTGTCCTTCATCAATCCACTCAGCTGATGTTTGCAAACACGTCTGAGTCAAAACGAACCGTGCCAAAAGTCTATGCAAGGACCAATGTCTACATTTGGGCGGTGCCGCGTGCATGTGTCATCACTTCATGTCAAGCACCCCCTGTCTAGGCGCATTCTTGGAATCCATGCTTCTTGTCGACTCTCTCAGGTCTCCCCTTCAAATTCACGCCCATTTCCTCCGAAAGGAAGCTTGCAGGCTCCACGGCGACGTATTCCTTCTCACTTGCCATGCAGAGGCGCTCGCCGGGGGACTCCAGCCCAGGAAATCCCGTATGGGGAGAGATTCCTTTTTCATGTTCAACCATTGTTCTTGTCAGAAACCACACTGCTAGGGATTGGCATTTCGAACTTTCTGAGAAGGACTCCTCAGAATGGGGAACGGCTGGAATCTTGTTTGTTCCGCATACAGGGCCCTTCACCAATCGAAGGTTTCACAAATCGAAGTTTCGGCCACGCCCCTCGACGACGAACCAGCGGCTCCCTCTCGGTGAGGAGGATGTCCAGGTTTTCCGGCACAGCGTCATCTGGGCGGCCGTGTCAAACAATGATGATACCAACCGTGACCCTCTCATATCATCTACCCCCTCTCCAGAAATGGAGATGGGCCGGAGGTCCACTGGCAGATTGCCCCGCAAGTGCACTTTCTCGTTTTGCCTGTCTGGTGCGCACTCACGGAATTCTGCCTCTAACTTTCTGTCTCTCTCTCTCTCTCTCTCTCACTGGTATCAGGAAAGAGCATTTTAGCAGCTGGGTTTGTCTCAAGATAAGGTGTTCCCTCTAAAACCGAAGTTCCCTCCAGTCCAGGAAAAATAGTGCCAACTCACACCTCCCTGACAACTGCGAGTCTACGTCGTGGAAAATGTGTCACCAAAAATAGTGAAAACATCCAAAAGTGATGGCTGTCCTTTTCTCTTACCTTTAGACAAGCCAAAAACAAGGTCCCAAAGCAAAGACACGCCCCGATGGTCAAGAAGTGTCGGGCAAGTCTCAGCCCATCTGCACTCTGCACTTCTGCACCCCCGGAATGGGCCGACTGGGACCGCCGCACCAATTCAGGATGTGCAGGGCCTGGGTCCAGGAAACGTACGTGGCGTCGAAAGCAATCCGCCCGTCCAAATGACCAAATGATTGGCTTCCTCTTGGCTTCCTCTTGGCTTCCTTTTGTCACTTGGTTTCCGTGTGCTTGCGTTTGACCGCAAGGATCCCTAGTGTTGACACATGCAAATTTGGTGGCGCCAAGCTCCATCAGTGCCAACGCTGGAATCAAGCCTCGATCCAGTTTCACACTTTGGCGTCTTCATGTTGTCCTCTTTCGAAAGCTGCACGATGCATGTGGGCCAACGACATTCGGTATTCAGCCTGTGGTGTTGTCACACCTTCTCCATGCCTCTTGTTCCAGGTGTAGGTCAGCCTACAACATGTTCGTAAACCTGCCAAAGCGAATCATGCGGCACTGTCTGCTGTGGATCAACAATGCTGACAGGCAGTCTGTCAGCAAATGTCAAGCTAATCTGGCATGAGGGGCAATTCTGAAGATGACCTGACCACAATTTTTGAACAACTGATCTGATATGAGAACAGCTTCTTGGTTGCAAGCGCTGCAGAATGTGCAGAAAGCACGTGGAATAGTCGAATCGAACGTGCTAGAGAAGTTTTGCACTCCCAGGATCCATTAAGGCGTTCACGGACATGTGAAGGAAGCCAATAGCCGTCTGCCAAAAAGAATCACGTCTCACAGCCTAACACAACAACACAATATTATTCTTCGGATGGGGCCAAAGTACCCAATGGAATAAACAAGGCCCCTGCGCACAAATCGCGCTCTTACAACACACAATCTATAATCCTGATCTTCATGTTGGAAGCTGAGTTTCGCGTAGAGCAAGAGAATATTTGACCAGCACATCAGAAAGTTGGCTCTGCGAGTAAATGATCCACCCAAATCTTGCCCGACTTCGGACAGCCCCCGAAAACCTGTCCAGAAACTTGATCCATCCAGCCGATTCTTTTTTCAGTGCAAATGGCGGGCGTCCGCGTTTTGCCGAGCCCGACCAAAGAAGCTCCAGGTCCCCGAAGTTGGGGCACCGCGCCAGGTAGAAGGCCTTGACCTGAAACTCCGCTACCCCGACACAAATCCGGGATCAAGGAACCCGGAGCCCCCTTAGCCCACGTGAGCAGACCCGCTTGTAGAAGAATATCTCCTTTTGGGAGAGCCCATGGTGTGCATGAGACGTTTGGGAAGTCTTTGGCAGAAAAACACCCGACTCGACCCCCCCCCCTTTCATTGAGACGGGCATCGAGTTCTCAAATCCAGGCGTTCCTGTTGATTGAGCTCCGAAAGTTTGAAAATACACAGGTTTGGAAAAGGACACCAGCAAACCAGGTGCGTGGATTCCGGGTTTTGACGCATACCCATTTTGCCGAACAAATCCAACCAAAGCCTCTAGGGTCAAGCCAAGCTGCGAAAGCAAACGGAAAAGCGAAGGTCAAGCCAGGAGGGATGGCCCAAAGCTCCAGCTCCAACAAACTCTGGGAGTGGCAAGTTGGCAAGGAATTGGGCATTCCGCTTGGTGAGCCCTCTTCAACTGAACTGGATATCCCAGTGGATCCCAGATACCTAAATTCCACGGTCCGTACTACGGGAGTTTGCTTGGCACTTCGAAATCGTACGCCCTGCAGCTGCTCTCCGCATCAATGCTGAGCTGTCCGCAAGTAAAGGCAGCTATCGAAACACATTCGGAGTCATCACATTCAGAGCTGCGGTTGATGTCTTCACTGAACTGGGAACAATACTGAACCTGCACATTTCAGTCATACCCGGCCTGAACGTGCCACAGCAATGGAGCGGCTTTGCCGCCCTGGAGGCCCATCTTGAGCTCTAAAATGACACCGTGAAGATAATCATCTGCAACTGTTCACTATGATTGCAACATCTGAAACAGGGAATTCCACGTAGAGGACCTGAATGGTTGAACTGGTCTTTCCCGCGAGCTGGTTGCCCGCATAGTGCTGCCACCTTCCCGCCCGCCAAACCCAAACCATCCCGCTTTGGGATCGCGCCCGTCCGTTGCGGAAGCACCGCCTTGGATGAACCTTGGTCATTTGAAACGCCAAAGGCCAAAGGCCTGCTCCGCAGAGGGGGAAATCCACCGGAGTGACATGCAATGGCACGTGACGCTTTGACCATGGGGCACTGGCCGTGATGGTCCCGCCGGCGCGCCGCAAGCGGCCTGGGGCATATCCTTGTTGCTTTGGGGGGCCTAGTCTGCGGGCCTCAGGCCTCTGCGCCTGCCTTTTCGCACACCAAGTGGCATGGCATCAACCAGCACTCGGGGAATCGCCACTACTTGGTTTCGAAATCACTCCTCATTCCAGGCGGGTCGCAAAATGTTGGCCAAAATGTGGTCGTTCAGCCCTTCCCTTGAAGCCCTTGGTCACATGACTCCCGCCACTGGGATCCGGGCACAGGAGCGCGTCCGTCCTTTCTTCCTGGACCCTGCCGATGTCCTGGCAAGACAAGGACTTCCAGTTGGCTCCAAAAAGACAAAAAGAGAGTAGGCCTTACCCACAACGTTTCGCCGCAGATTGAATCGAAAGCCAAGCATGGCATCCACGCGCAACTGGGGGGGGACACTGTGGTGTCCATGCGAATGCAGCGCAAAGTGTTCTGTCACGTGTGAGGAACTGTCAGCGCGCCTAGCCGCGCCCTTTGACACCATTAGAATCCCTCCTCCAGAGGGGCTCCAACTGCCCTGGGTCAGGTTGGCTGAGACTTCTATTTGCTCACTATGGTGGGTTGGAGTTTTGATCTAGAGCCCTTCAGGCACTCCAACTGCCACTCTTATCCATTCAGGAATGACGTGTGCTTTGCTCTGTCGGTTTTGGTTCAACGTCGTTGTTTCCCGCGGCCAGACTGGCTTCCCACCCAGGCTTCGATATGGGCCCCCGACTGAAGCCTGGAAGTCATTTTGAACACAACATGGTAGCTGCATATTGTATATTAGTATCTATACATATATGAAGACTGGCATAATAAGGAAAGTCTCGCTTTGATCCATCAGCCTGAAGGGTGTCCAGCTTTTGGTTTGGGGTCTCCATTCTTCCACGGCCTGTGCAAACAAACAGCATTTGTTTACAATAATTCCAAGATCGGAAACCAGGATCCCCAAGTGGCGAGCTCAGTTTACCTCCACGGAATAAAGCAACCCCCTACCCAAACCCCAAGCCAACAGGTGCCAAAGGCAGACGCCTCCAGGCCCTTTGGCCTGGATCTCTGGGCGGACGTGCGCACGTCCAAATCCAAGCTATGCTAAAGCTATAGCTTGCTGCGCCTGCGCGCTCCTTCCAGCTTGAGCCCAGAGGCTTGCTTGTGGTTTGAATTTGGGGGTGGTTTGTTGTGCAACCTTGTACTGACCGCAGGAACCCACGTAAAAAGTATTAAATAATCACAAAACCCACAGGTGTAGTTGAACTCGACCCGACATTTCGACTCTCTCACGCCTTCCTTCAGCGTTGCCTCGCCGGCTCTCAGGGCTCCGTCACCGAGGACCCGGTGAGCGTCAGCGGGGGCGGGAAGGGCCGCTTGCGCCCGCTGGTGTTGACCTGTGCGACCACTCCCTGTTCGTATGTGAGGAGCGCAATGTGGGGAGTGAAATTCTCGCACCCCTAACCCCGCATTATTTGAGGGGGGAAAATTTGGCCCGGGAAGAGAAACCAGCACGCCACCAAAAGTGGAGCGAGTTGAGATCCATCGGACAGACGGTAATGATGATAGATCTCCAAACTGCCCAAGAAGCGCAGAGCAGTGCAAAGACTTCGTGAGGGGAATCAAACCGCCACAAAAAGAGCCCGAACACACCCGTGCGTAGAAAAACATTGTGTTCAAAGCTTTGTGGGCTTCCAGCCTCTGGCACACCCCTGGAGAACCACGCTGATTCGCAAGGAGCACCGCAAAGCACGTCTAGAAATATCAAACTGCCAGAGCCAAACAACGCGGAGGCGTGGTGAGCTTTGTCAGCCCTCTGTCACAGAAACATCATGCAACTTAACCAACAGGAGGACCCATCAACATCAGCCATGAAATACGGGGTGTGCCATGCCCATCCATGCGATGGTCTGCCAGGAACTATCCTCTGCTCCATCAAAAAGCGCTTGGCTTTGACGACAAATGGGCTTCGATTGCTCGCACATGCCGAGTGGACATGTCTGGCTGCCCCGGTCTCACCTCTGATGTCTCCAGCAGGAACCGCGTGTAGATGTCGTTCTGCGTTTCCTCCTGCGATCCCGTGGCCCAAGGCCTTGATTCCTGCTGCTTCCTCATACTCTTGTTGAGGCTGTTTGAAAGGGAAGACAAAGGGAACCAGCTCAAGTGGGGTGTCTCAAAAATGGCGTCATTCTTGGGGGTTTCGAGGCCCAAGTGTCTCCTCTCGTTCGGCCAAAGCTAAAAAGCGCAAAAGCGAGTCACTTGCCGACGACCGGAACCCGGAGACTGCATTCCGAGATCCGAGATCCTGCCCCCAAACCTGACTAGAATTCACACCCATTTCTCCTTCCAGGAGTAGCCCTTGGACACCAGGTAGGCCAAGTAGTCCCGGAAGCCCGCCCGGCTCTTCCCGGGCACCTGAGACATCTGGGCCCCAAAAACCATCCGCATTTGGTGGCGGTGGGTTACCAAAATAGGAAACTGCCAACAAAAAGTGGGGTTCCCCCTTTGGTTTCTCTTGAACGCCCCAACAGGGCAGCCTTCAAAAAGCGACCGACCGCTTTGGTTTGGTAATTCCAAAGTCTGAAATCAGCCTGGGGAGGAAACCAAAGGCCTTTACTGGTGCAGGATTTTGTCCATTCACAGCAGGGACCCTAAAATGTCTCTTCTTAAACACAGCCTGTAGAGTCAGCACCGCTGAAGGCAAATCACCAGGTTGAGCCCAAGTTCCATCGTTTGATAAGGACTTACACCCAGTGGTTGATTTCCCAAAAGGAATTGGAAGCCTGAGTTTTTTCACCTTACAACTTGCAACTAATCGGTGGTTTGGTTTGATAGCTTGGATGCCAGCACCTTCCCTGTTCGGTTTCAAAGGGACAGGTTGAAATCCCCAAACCAAACCACCAATTGAGGAAGTACCTGAGTTCATCCTTCCCCCCAAACCAAGGCCCTCGGAGCAAAATGTGCCTTCCAACCCCGGAGTCGCCCACCTGGCAGGCTTTTAAGCCAGAGGGTACCGCCTTACTGGGGGTGGCGAAAAAAAATGGTGTCCAATTTCGGGGGTGCCTGAAGTCGAGACTGCGCGCCTGAATGCCCACCAGCACTCGGGCCACGTCCGCGCCATGGCCGCGGTAGTGGAAGAGGGACACGTTGAAGTCTGAGTCCCACTTTTGTCAATGGCCAGCAAACCGTACAAAGAAAAGCAAAAACAATGCAAGCGCAATGCACGCGATGCACCCGCGACCAACACCCCCTGCAAACCCAAACTACACCACCATGAGGAAAATAGACGAAATTATTCACGCCAGCGCACAGCATCAACCCACCTTCAAGCCCCGAGCCCAGACCCAAACACGCCTGAGGGCAGCTGCTCCAAAAACCTCATGAGCGCCCCAGGCTTCTCGGGGAACTCGAAACTGAAAAGCCCCTCCTGGTCAATGAGCACTGTGATGTGTGTGTGTGTGTTGCTTGATTGCATTCATCGGATACAGTTTGCTTGGTTAATTGCAGTCTTCCGTGTTTAGTTGCTTGCTTGATTGCTTCTTTGCCTTGCTCCACTTGATTGCTTGGTGTTTGACTCTCTCTGCTTGGTTGTTGATCGGTCCTTTGCTCCTTGTTCTCTGGCGCTCCAAGACGGAGGGTTCTCGGTGCAAAGGACAGCACCCAAGCAAGACCTTGCCCAAAGGATCCCCAGCCAGCCACTAGATTGGCCATCTCGTTTAAATGGTGGTTTGCGCTGGTTGCCCACCATGGGCAAATCAGCATCCAATGCTTGCGGCTTCCAACATGATCATGCCTGAAAGTATGTGAAAATATCGTTTTCCTTGAAGCAGCTAAAGGGCCATACTGCCTGATGGCAGCAATGCCCACGAGCCTGCCAAAAGGTTGGCTAGCTGCCCTGATGCTAACTTGGCTCCAATCTTTGAGACGGTTGCAAGAAACCCGTGCTTGAAAATTGCCAACCAGAGGTTCTTGTGCATGCGAGACAGAGATTTGAGGATGCTTGCACTTGTCCCAGAGCACTTTCGGCAATTGTCTGACTAAAACCCCTTCAAACTGCTCACCCATTCAAATGGAACGTCAAGAAACTTTGGAACATAAGAGGTAAGGTTGCATGATCGAAGCTCCACCAGCATTGCCGGTTCTCCAAAGCAAGAAATCCATCATCAAGGTTGTCCAAAAAGAGCCATCCGACAAAGGACGAGGTTGACCCGTTGAGTTGGCCCACCTGGAAACTTAATCTGGACATGTCTAAACTCTATCTCGAGTTAATCTACATGTGTCCAAAACCAGGGATCCTTTTGGGAGGACGGACGCCTGTTTTCCACACCTGAGACCCCCGAAAAACGCTCCTCGCTAGTGAGCTCTGGGGGCGCGCGACCGCCTGGGAGGAAAACATGTTCTGGGTAGCAAGCAAAGACAAGACCTTTTTTTTCCAGAGGGTTGACACAGATTATGCGGGGCTAAATAATTCCCAACATGCTGCTCCTATCTTGACTTCTGGTGTTGCAGTCCCTTGGCCAGACAAGGCCCTCGTGGATGTGGCTCCAGACAGTCGTGAACGAGATTGCATGTCATTTCGGCAAGAGCTCGGGGGCCCTTTCAAGAGGAACTCATTCCCCTTTGCAAGACTAGGGAATCCGCAAAAAAAAAAAACAAAGAAAAAAGAACTGGCCTGATCAAGTCTCGCTTGCGTCTTTGCTCAAGGGTGAGCGGAAAACACCCCGCCGTATCTGAACTTGGCAACTCAGAGAGTAATTGTCATGCTATGAACTGACTTCTGCCGGCATAACCAGCACTAGTCCCCTTGCAGCAACGGGTACTACATGCAGCCCTCCTGACTTTTGACAAACCTCAAAACAACAGTCGCCGAAGGCTTTTTCACAAAGGTCCCAAAAAGCGATCATCATGTCATACCCCTCAAAACGCCAGCCTGCTTTTCAGGGATCCGGACTCCAATTCCTCCTTTCCCACCTTTCGCACCTTTCCCTCGTTCCTTCTCCGCCCTGTGGCCCCTTTCCTCTCCCACACGCTTTTCCTCCCCTTTCTCCCCGCCTATGAGGGAGCGCCCGTGGGTCTTCGCCAACTCGTTTTGGCTGAGGTCCAAGAAGTCATAGCCCGCGCCGCGCAGCGCCTCCAGCGCTGCCGCCCGGTCCTCCTCCGACTTAGCCTGCGACTTCGGTGTTCGCCCCGGGGGTCTCGTCTCGTCGTTTCTCTCAAAAACAAAATGCAAAAACGAGGCATTTCCTGTAGCTGGTGTCTTAGATTGTCGATCCCCGACCAGAAGGTAAAATGGAGGTCAAAAACCTGGTTTGGGAGTGGAAAAGAGTCCCTACCCAACTTGGTTGGAGGAATTGTTTGAGCAAACGAAGAAGGGACTTTGCGGGATTGGGGCCAAAACTCCTGTCATGTCGCTTAAGTCATCACTACATCTTTGCTTCTCTGACAACTGGTTGGCTCGTTGCTGATGGTCAAATCAACGTGAAACCAACTGGAGGCCCTCGACTTGACACTTGCTCCATGGTCAAAATTTGACATACCCTCGATTGAGATGGAAAATGAAGGTGGGAAATAATTGTGCCCTGGATGGTCATCCCTGTTGACCCCCAAGCAGCCAGGCCTCTTGACAACGCAACCCCACAAACCAGGTTCGCACTTTTTGCAGGCGCGCTCTGCGCCCTTTGATTGCTTGGGGCCCACAGCCCCCTCAGCCCCTTGCCAGCCAACGGCACCCCCCCCTCGAGCCGGCGCCTGGAAGCTCATGAAGATGCTGGCCGGGTCGCCGCTGATCCTGTATGCAAACTCCTGGCGAGGAGCTTCCGCCCTTGAGAAAACAGCCAGTCCAACTGCTAAAATGTTTGCCACTGGTGGTGTCTCATAGGCTTGCTTTTGTTGGAGGGGTGCCCTTTTTCACCTTGGTTTCAAGGGAAACCAAAAGAAAACCACCATTTTAGGGGTCTCCCTATTTTGACACACCCACACAGGAAACATGGGAAAGGGCGGTGAACAATGAAGGCACTGCAGAAACGTCCAAACATGGCCTATGAGGTACAAACTGGCCTGCCGCATCCGACCGACATCCGAACCGCGGGGAAGCGCGCCGTGACATTGCGAGGAAAGATGAGGCGGTAGAAGTCAATGAAGGCGCCAGCCTTCTCCGGGATATTCACAGCCTCAGCGTGTCTAAAAAGGTGAACCAAGTAGAAGTTGCCTTTTGCTTGGATCTCTGTCTTGTGGGAGGGTCCAAAAATATATATTTTCCCCCATCCCTGTACAGCTCTTCATGAGACCTTCTTACATTGCAAAGATCATGGACACCCCCTACAAACCCTCTCCCCTTCCCAGCTCCTACTCCCCTGCAAGTAAAAATGGAACCCAGAAACGAGTCCTGTTGTTGTGAGTGCTGGTCAGGGTTGTGTGGTGGCTGCTGTCAGTGCTTGTTTGGCGATGCCGTCAGAATGCTGGTCAGGTGCTATTGAAATCTCTCCTGCTTTCTGGGGTCTATGCTGGTGTATGTGGGTAGGTATCAAAATAGGGGACCCAACGAAAATTTGTGGTTTTCCTGCCCATCCCAAAGAGGACACCAACTCAAAACAACACACACCCATGTTGTTCTGCAGGCAGGGTCCCTGTACTTCCTCCTCTGGTGGCTCAAACATCACCTGTTAGGCAAAGTTCGGATGACTTCCCTTCGAGCAATGTCTTCAGGCAACCCTGCCTTTGGTCGGTGCTCAACAAACCAAACAGAACAAAAACTGCTTGTTGAGTCTCTGATTCCCTTTGTTCCAGAGCCAATACTTTCCCGGGCACCGCAGGGAGTACCCAACTGCGGAGGCCGAGACGAGCCCATCTCCGAAGACCGAGGCGCGATGTGCGTCTCAGAGGTGTCGGCACGCTCCGACACGAAGCGCAGGCGGTCGAAGTCCATGTTGGCACCGCTGCTCACCGCCACCAGGCACCGGCCCTACACGAGAGGAACTGAGCCGAAATCCTGAAAAGCCAAAAACCCGTTTTGTGTGCCACACCCCCCAGAAAACTTGTTTTATTTTGGCTGTCCAAAAAAAGTACACCTTAAAATCAAAACAAACAACAAATCAAAAACAAACAAAAAAAGATCGTAATGTGTGGGGATCCTGCCTTTTGGCACGGGCACACTGTTCAACAATTCCAACTGGCTTCTGATGAGTTGAATCACAAAAGGTGGGGTGGATTAGTTGCATTCTATGTCTGAGAAATCCGATTGGTTGATTTGTTGGCAGTGATTGGAAGCTTCAGGAAGTGGAAGGAAGGTGGCGCCATTCCAAAACGTCGCTTGCCCCTGGGTTTTCATGTCGACCTCCACAAAGTGGGAGAGTACTAGCCCCTCTTGGGGGCATAGCTGATCAAATCACGCCCAGCTCATGGAGGGCTGGCAGCTGCGATCTCTCAATAGCCGAACAGTTGAGGTGATACTGCAATTGCCCGTATGAACATGAGCCGGCGATGGCATGAAGCGGCTGGCATCAGGCGCACTTCTAGGAGAGTGCAACTTGTTGCTGAGCTCTCCATCAAACAAACTGTCCCATGTACAAACTAAAGCGCACTCCAAACCAGTTGCAGCACCTTTCAGTCACCGTTGCATCGACAAGATCATGGTTCTAAATTGTTGTATATCCGAAGCTTTGGAACAAAATATCTAGATTTCAAACAACAAAATGTTGCGTAGTGATGCTTGGGTAGTGAACGGATTGTTTCCCTGTTCCCCGAAAGCTGGCTCCAAGGTCACTGGTACCCAAGAGTACCCCGCTGAGCTGAGGGCTCCCCTGCCTTTTGCGATGCTTGATCGATCGTTTAAGACCCCTAAAAGGTTGCTGACCATCCCTACCCCGGTCTTTTGACCACATGGGATGCCTTCTAGAGGTCGATTCCCCTGGTTGACCCATCCTCTGTTTGGATTCATTACCTTTTGGTTGACAATCTTAATTGACATTCTCTTTGCTGGGGTGATGTTTATGGGGACATGAGAATGAGCTTAAATTGAAAATGGACCTTTTCATGTTGCTTGCCTTTTCTTAGCCCAAAGCAAGTGCCAGCTCAAGCAACGGCGCCAAAATCCAAGGAGCGAGAAACTAGACTTGCAGGAACTTGCACAGGTGCTTATACAGCTTGGACCCTGTCAGAGGAATCCCACGAAAACAGGACGCCCATGCCAGGAAGCACAGCTTCTGGTCAAGTCCAAATAAAAGGGTGTTTTGACCAGGGCAGCAATAGTCGCTAGTATGTCTTTGTATATAGTGTGATCCTCAAAGAACATCGAAATGGATCTGGGCAAATTACAATATGTCACCCGGAAATGAAAGACCCGCATAGGAAGGATGGGTGAAGTCGCAAGCCTATCTAGTGACATCGTGACATTTGCCCACCCTGCTCGAACCAGCAAGATCAACATCTTCGGACCATCCGCAAACTTCTTATGTAGCTCTGAACCAATACTTTGTTTGCACGTGGCATGCTCTAAACACTGCGGCACCTAAGGTCAACCACTCCGGCACCTTGGAAGGTATTTCTTTGAGTGGTTGCGTCAACCACTCCCGACATCGCCTCTGTGGCCCGGCCGCTCAGCGCGTAGCGCTTGAGCCCGGCCGTGGCAAGGGCGCCGGCGGGCTCCAGCACCACGCCTCGGAGGATTTCTCTTTTTCTAAGCGCGCATATTGATGTGCTATGTTTGGTTACGTATTCATATACGTGCCGTTGTTATTTGAGTTCTAAGCGGTCAGCATTTTACGTGGACGCAACAAATTCTCATCTTGGACAATATATTGAAATGCTCTCGTTGTCGCGGTGTCCGATTTTGTCTTGCCAGGCGAGCGCATCCAAAAATATTGCACAGAGATCCTGCAGAGTCCCTCCCAAAGATATCTTGCGCTGGTCCATAGGGCGCTTAAGAGGTCTCGTACAGGAAAAGCAAAGGTTTTCGTGCAAGAGATCTTGTGAAGAACGCTCGGAATAACTTTTTGCAAAGAATCCTCTCACTCACTTTGTACACAGGATCCCATCCAAAGATCCTGTTCAGTGATCCGGCGACCCAGCAGAAGCAAATGGCACCCAAGTTTCTCTTCGCCAACATTCAAGATAGCCGTGTGAATGATCTAATAAGATGCTTCGGGCCCCGCCCAGTGGCCTAGCGGCTGAAGTCGATACCAAGCTCACGACAAGTCAGGCCAAGGCGCGGGTATCCTTGAAGGAGTCCTTGATGGCAGCGCAAATCTCGTCCTCGCGAAACGTTGGCACCGGGCCAAAGGCAAAACCGAGCCACGTGCCTGAGAGCCAACCCAAGGTGTCGGATGATGAGAATGCGTGAAGCAAACAAAAGGTGTTTGACGTCCAACAGACGTCCAAAAGGGGGGCATCAATCGGCATCAACCCTCGTGGTGGCTTTCAAAGGGGTGAGGAAGGGCGAGGGAAGCGCTGTCCATCGCACCCTTGGTACCTGATCTATCGACGCAGCTTCTGAGATGGCAGTCACGAGATGACTCTCTGTTCCAAGCCGACCTGACTCAAGTTGCCTGATAAGCCTGAAGGACAAAAGCCCAAACAAAAATCCAAACAATAGAGACCCCTCTGATCCGCCACCTGATCAACCAAATGAACAAGTCTTGCCTTGACGCAATCCATGTGCCAAGCGACCAATCATTTCCCGGAAACTTGGCCGAAATTCAAACAAACACACCGAATGTTTCTCAGGTCCGGTGCTGACAAGCCCTACCCTTTAGCAGTCCCGCCAGCGCAAAGAAAAACGTGCGCGCGATTTCGCGGGTTCAGTCCGTGGAGACGGTGATCATGTCGTCCACATGCATCTGGCAGAGGCGGAAAGTTTCGTCCCCCACCTTCGCCACCTGGCAAATGGCTGTCCGTGAAGGTGCACGCCAAAAGCGCGGTCTTTAGGCCCGGACAAAACGATTTGCTTCCCCAAAGACATGGGAATATTGTGGGAAGATTGGACCTTGGAAAGCTGGTGAATTGCAAAGATAACCTGAATCTATTGGACCTCTAGAGGAAGCGGCCCAACCCCCAAGGTTGCTATAATCTGGCCAGGAAAGGATCCTTCAGTTTGGAAGCATTCCGCCAACCAGGTTGCACTATGCAATGGGCATGCGCAACCCTCGAACGCGCATTCAACTTCACAGAAATGCAGTGCATCCCTCAATCCCTTGCAGTTGCATGGGTTCTTCCGTTCAACCACACCAAGTCCGCTGACTGGGCACCAGTTCGTGAGTCTGAGTTTCGCACTGCAGCGCCATCTGCAAAGAGACCCACCTGGAGACAGGGCATACAAAGACAGTTTCTGCCACACGGTGCCTTAGAAAAAGGCTGGGCCCTGGTGTCACACTGGCCTCCGTTGAAACGGCCGGGTGGACCATCAATTGATGACTTTTTCTGAGCTGAGACTGGTCTTGGGCTGCAGTTGGACCTTAATTGAGGAGTGCCCACCGCCTCTTGTGGCTATTTTGGGTCTACCTGGTCTCATGGGATTATAGTAAGGGCCGTAAAAGCCAGTATAACCGTCATTGTTACTTTGTGTCTTTGTGTCTTCGTGTCTGTGTGACTTTGTGTCATTGCGTCTTTGCGTCTCTGTGCCTTGGTGTGTGTGTGTGTGTGTGTGTGTCTGTTTGTGTTTTTGTTTCTTTGTTTCTATGATATGTTTGTGTCTGTGTGTGTCTGTGTGTCTGTGTGTCTGTGTGTCTGTGTGTCTGTGTGTCTGTGTGTCTGTGTGTCTGTGTGTCTGTGTGTCTTGTGTGTCTGTCTGTCTTTGTGTCTTTGTGTCTTTGTGTCTTTGTGTCTTGGTGTCTTGGTGTCTTTGTGTCCGTGGGTCTTTGTGTCTTTTTGTCCTTGTGTCTGTGTGTCTGCGTATCAGAGTGTATTTGTGTGTGTGTGTGTGTTTGTGTCTTTGTGTGTGTTTGTGTCTTAGTGTCTTCGCGTCTGTGTGTGATTGTGCCAGTGTTTGTGGTCGTGTGTTTGTGTTTGTGCTTGTTTCTGGAGGGTAGCCTTCTCAGCTTGGTTTCAAAATTCAAAAGGAAGCCGAAAGGACAACCAGCATTGCTAGACACCTTCCCAGAGAAGGGACCTATGACTGCGGCTACGCGCCAAGGCGCTGTTGGCAGCTCCACCACCTTCTGCGCCTTCAGACTCTCCGTCATGGCCGCACTGTCGTGCGCCTCCACTCCGATGACCTGGAGCGAAACAAGGCGGGCGGTGGAAAATTGAACGGAGTGATGTAAAATCAGTGCGACTTTCTAAGAGGGGTCTGGAAATTGATCAAACCGCAAAATGGGGACAAAAAAAAAGTGTCGGTCACCGTTTGGCCTTCTTTAGAGAAACTTCCATTTATGTTTTATTGTGCACCCAGCTCTGGCTTGAGCGGAACTGCCCCTGCAAGTTCAAGGCTCAATATTTGTGATGGAAATGGTAGACAAAATGGAACAGTTGTGAAAAAAAAATACCCTGGAGAAAAGTTCGACCATTTCAAGGGGGGGGCCTTCGAACGCAAGGTTGGGGACCAAGGGGAATTTGACATCCCGGCAAGTCTCCCTCTGGAAATTAAAAAATGAAGCCCTGGTTAGAGAAAATAATAACATGATTACATGGAAAGACCGTGGGACAATCCTGATGATACAAGACATGCGGGTGATTCATCAATCTTGGCCCGATGGCAACATGTCCAACAACCCTGGATGCAGCCACTGTTGCTGAGCAAGCTGGCCCAAGCAAGTGAACTTGTCCAGCTTCGAGCCCAACACAGCAAGCGACCCACTCAAACTGACCCAGAAATCCCTCCCCCCACCCCCAAACCCCAAAGAAACCCCACAAACACTGCAAAACTCACCCACCAAAACAAGAAACACCCACCCGCCCAACTACTTATCTAAAAGAAGACATCCCATTTGCCCGGCTGAGACCTACGTCCGCTCCGTGCCTTGATAGAGGGCTTCACCGCCTTCAGGAAGGAGGCGACCCCGGCCAGCAACCCACCCCCGCCCACGCAGCAGAAGACGGCCTCCACGTCCTCCTGAAACCAACGGGGTACAGGAAGGGGCAAGTCTCGGTTTCCCTTAGACCCACCTAAACTCTGGCATTTGGGCGGGGGAGTTTATCAAACAAGCCCGAATGCGGGCAAGTTCAGGGAATGGTGCTGCCTTTGGCCCAACTGAAACGGGGGCTAACGATGGGGTTGCAGGTCATTGATGGGAAGAGTAAGGCATGGGGAAACTAAAAGGGGAAAAATGGAGGGATTCTAGAAGGGCCTAAATCATTGCTGGGGTTGTGGGGTAGCTGTAACTAGTCAGCTTCTTGCGTTGTGCAAAAGGATGGCGATTTGGGTTCCAAAGAGCTGTCCCTCAAAAAGATATTCCCGTTGCAGTGATGCTGTTTTGGGCTCCCTGCTAGTCTGCGGGGGAGTAGATCATAAGAGGTGGAAGGGATAACAGGTCATTGGGCAGGAAGGGGGTGGGGAAGAGTAAGGAGGGCAGGGTTAGGGTTAAGGTGATTGGAGGATTTTGTCTTTATCTCTGCTTTTTGAGGGAGGGTTGGGGTGCTCGGGGGATAAACGTACGTTTGCTCGGCGGTGGAGGTGCTGACCTGCTTCGGGGACAAGCGGGACACATTACAAGGAATGTCCCAAACAGCTAGAGCAAACGCAGAATGTGTCCATATGGGTGAAGAGCGGTGAGAAAGGAATGGTATGGAAGAAATGGTTGGGAGGTGAATTCTGCCCAGGCCAATTTTGTCCATGGAAATTTGGACGGTGTCGAGTCGCTTCGGACTGTTCCTTGCGAACCTTCACTTACTCAAGGTTCTGGTGGTGCGATTTCGAAGCTCCACTTGTCGGGACTCCAAGGGCCACCTCGACCCTCGGTTTGTCCGCAGACGGCCCAAGATTTGAAGGGAGGGGAAGGGGAGCTGCCTAGAAGGTTGTCTTGATCCATTTCTGCAGCTCATCTGCAGTGAAATGCGTACTGGGAACACTGATATGCTGGTTGACTGAGCCTGCTCCTTTCTGATATATCTTAACGCATCTAAGCAACTGATTCCTCGACTCAGCTTGGTGTATTCACGTGATCCTAGATCCAAAGACTGCAAAGAAGCGGGACTTCATGGATTCGGTGGACCCAGAAACGTGTCACGATGTGTCATGGCAAGGAATCAACCCAGAAAAGCTTCACATTGCGACAGGATCACACCCACCCCCCCCTACAACCCAGATTGCGCTGAGGAATAAGGCTTCGATAAGGGTTTGGATCCTATGACATTCATCTCGAAAGTAAGCCAATAAGGGCCCAAGCCCCCCTTATGCGGTAGACACTTAGAGTCTATTTTGCGTGGACACCTTCTCTATGCTACAAAATGGCCTTTGGGCATTTGGGTGACCCATGAAAAAGTGGGTTCTGAAATCGGACACGGGAAAGACATGATTCTTTGCAAATCGGAGCCCGCAAAAAATATCGCCCGCCTTGGTGGTCTGCTCCAAGATCTCCTGATCCAGTCTGCCGGTCACACTTTCTGACAAGAAAAGCCGGCCCGTTCCTTTTCGGCTCCCCTAACTGGTTCCCCTCGTGTCCGGTCGTTGTTTGGTCCCCTCGTTTGGGAAACAAACAATCGGTGTTTCTCGTTGATCTTTTCTGGATTGCATTTACTTGGCATGCTCTATGCCGATGCCATTTTGGCAGAACAACTTGGCAGCACCCCTGCCCAGCTGATCAGTTTTGTGGGGCCGGGGCTGCCATGTCTGGAGCCCATGTCCACCCGTCTTGAGTTCCTCACATAACCCTGTGGGTTTTGGCTGCGGCCTTGCCAATGGTGCCCTGGCCAGCAATCACCAGGGGGTCGTTGAACCTGAGGGCTTGCTGGGTGAGAGCTGCAGAGAGAGGTCTTGAAATCTGCTGATGGTAGGGGTGACTTTTCAATCAAAAACCCCTGTTCCCCCCGAAGCCAAGTCAGGAAGGTTGGAAAGCCAAGCCAAACTTCTCACATTCGAGCCTGGGGGAATGAACTGCAACGCGAAATGGGCTTCCAAATGGAAACAGCGGGCCCCCCAAAAAAATGTGGGATTCCAATGCAAACAAGTGGTACGTGTAAAAAAAAATGGAAAAAAACAGAGATGAAAGGAATGGGATGTCCTTCTCTCCCTCTTATCTCATCCCTCTCTGTTTGGTTGGATGAGGAGGGAGGTTGGACATCAGAGATTATTTCCTTCTCCATATCCTGTCTCTCGGTGTTTGAGATAGAAGTTAATGACCGAGAAAACAGACAGGATATGGGAGTGACATGAAAGCGATAGAAGAGCTGACAATGAATGGCTCCATCAGACACCATTTCATCCAGTTAACAGCTTCTTTGGTGTCTTGTCTCTCTTTTTCATTTATTACTTTCCCTTTCAGGTCCTTCCACATGCTGCATTGGGGATTAACTCCTGAGAAATAGACTGTAATTAGCTGTCCCTGAAGACACCAGAAAGAAATATAAATGAAAAGACATAAAGAATTAAATAGAAATAAATAAAAGAAAAGACACAAGAGATAGAGTCCTTACGGAAAAGCAAAATACAAGATACAAATAATTACAAAATGAATACTAAAGAGAAAGGAAATATAATGCCTTCTAAAGACCTCGCATCATAGGGTTGTGGGGCGTTTGGAGAGTGTTGCAAGGGACAGCAAAAGGACACCGATCCTTTCTGCCCCGTCCGAGCCCCAAGCGGGTGCACCAGAACGCGGCCCTCGTTGCGCATACACTCCTCGGCCGGTGTTTGCATGAGCAATGCGTCTCAAGTGAGCACCCCAAACCCATTGATTTTGTGCTCTGCCAGCATACAAATAACGTGTTTAAATAGGCCTTACTCGAACCATTGCTAAATCAGGGACCTTTGTAAGGGGTGTAAGAGAAACCAAAGGAAATCAAGGACCAAGTCTAGAAGGGACCTCATGACTCGGCATGGACACTTGAAGCAGTGAGAATGATTGTTGCGCAGTATCCTTGAATATCGAGTCAAGTTCACAGCATGCTTCATCGATGAGATGTGACCCGAAGTAGAAGCCATAGAGTGGTTGCTATGACTGGCTTCGTTCAGAGGTATGCTTGAGCAAGCAGCCATTTTGCGATGAACGAAAGTGCATCAACACGTTTGGCAACCAACCATAACCAAACCATCCTCTGGTCTTTGGCATGCTCAGTCTCAGTTCTGGCTCAGAATCCGACCATGCCTGAGCTTTCCATCAAAGGAACTGGCACTAAGAACAACATGAACAACCCCCAAGACCTTGCCAGGAATGTCTTTTGGACCCAAGCGCCAAGCTTGGAATTCCTCCGACCCAGTCCCTGCTTTTACCCATGTGCTTGAAGAGGACTCCTGATGAGGAGGGTACTCAATTTTTGGGAAGGGTCCAGCTCTTCCCAGATGCAAAGATAGATGGCAATGGAGTACTACTGGAACCAAACTGAAACCAGCGTCTGTTGCTGCCCAAACGGACCTCAAAGGACGCCTGTGTACCTCTTCCCACTCAGCAATACAGAAAACACACGCGAGCTGCCATGGTCGCAGCGTACGCGGCGTCGTAGTTGTCGCCAACCAGGATCACCTCCGACTTCTCGTTTGAGAACCTGTGCAGATGTCCTATTCTCCGGGTCGAAAATACGCGGCGGTTGAGTCCAAACCAAAAGGGGAACCAATTTCTGGGTTTAAGCCTGGTGGACACATGGAGCCCTGCGCGGCTTCTGTTGCTGATCGGCCCCATAAAAGAGCGATCAGAAAAGTACTGCATAAAATATACACCCGGCTTTCATCCAGATTCACAACCTGAAGCATCAGCATCCCGCTCAAAGCGCCAAGAAACCTCCTCACGGCGTCCACCTTGATGTTGGGCGTGGTCTGTGGCATGAAGATCTTTGCCTTACGAAACCACCAGAAAGCGCGGAGACGAGGATAAAATATGCCAAGCCTTCACACCTGTGAAGTGCGAGACAAATGGGCTCAGCCCATGCGGCTTCTGGAGGCACCGATGCAGGCTTCTGGGGAGGCATTCCGTGAAGCGGAAACAACACCTACCAGCTAAAACTGTTTGACACAACGATGAATCGGGTCGCTCTTCGAGTCAATCTTCCCTTGTATCTCGAAGGCACCAATACGCTCTTTCCATTGCGTGTCTCGGTGCCTCTTGGTTGCTTCGCAACCAAAGGCACCTGTAGTTTTGGCCCGCTGAACATCTCGAACTAGCCGGACCGCTCCCTTTCTGTAACCTTGCCAAAAGCCCATTGTTGGCCAGCCAGCGGGGGGGGAACCAGGTTAAAGGTCAGCAGGGTTGCTCCCATTCGACTCGATCGGAAGGGTAGAAAGCTGGAGACTGGAAAAGCGAAACAAAAGGACCCATTTCACCAATTCTCTCAAACGTGGCTTGGTCCTTGAGGATCCCTGGTCACTTTCAACCCAAGCCAAGAAGCCCGGGGCCCAAACCCAAACGAACAAAAACAGGCAAACAACTAAAATTAAACAGACTAATAACAAACAAGCAAGCAAGCAAACAACAAACCAGGCAAACAAGCAACTGAGAAAAAAACAACGTACATACGCGTGTGCGCAAGCGTTGAAAAACGTGGCGAGGGGCCGACACGTCCAGCGCCGCCGCAGAGAAGGCGACGCCCTGGGCGTGGTTCCCTGCGGAACAGGCGCAAATGCCCTGCGCCTTCTCCTCCGCGCTCCTGAACGAAACCCGAACAGGAGCCCCTTCACCCCCCCTCTCCCCCCCCCCCAACAAAAAGCGATGCAAATCCCGAAACAAAGGGTGGGAAAGGAAGTCACGGCCCTGTAAATCCCCCCATCCAAAATAACAAGTCAACAAAGCCCAGGCAAGGTCCCAAAATGGGTCTCTCGCCCTGAGATTCCAAAACCCAAATGTTGTCCCCTTGGCTTCCTCTAAAACAGCTTCTGGCCCAAGCTGGAAGGCGAACGGGTCTGGCCCAAAACTGTGAGCAACAAGAGCCACAGACAATGTCCGCCCCAAAAAGGGTCACTCGAAATCTGATACAGTGGAAGTCAAGCCAAAACCATGCATAGCTCAAAAAGGAGCCCTGCCTTTCAGGCAGTGGGTTTTGCGGGCGCAGCTGACAAACCAATGACCCATTGAAAACTGGATCAAAATATGTTTTCCTCTTGCACATCCTCCCTTTTCAAAAAACGGCGCGCTCCCGAGCATGGTGTCCGCCCGAAAGAGAATTCCCCACGATGGCTTAAGTTCCACCAACCTTGTCCGTGGGATATCGCAATTCCCAGGTCTAAGAAGACAAGCAAAGCTCGGCTCCCTTTCATCCCGAAAAAAGGCATTGCCAGAAAAGACAGCAAGTAGTCGCTGACTAGGTTGTCTATTTGAAGCCCGTTTAGGACATGCTAAAGCCAGTGTCCGAAGGGCAAGCCCATGTCCGCGCACTCTTGGGCGTTGGAAGGGTGCACTGTGCTTCTGGAGAGCGCAACGGCTTCGAGGCACACCACATGTGTGCCCAAAGCCTGTCTGCTGGTCAGATGCAAATCGTGAAATCGCTGGACCATTTGCCCTGCTTGGCCAGGGCCCGGCAAATCCCAAATGACTTGGGTTGACCATCGCACATGGCTAGGGATTTTCATTCTCCAGCGGACATATTGCGCCAGACACCACTTGCCACCTTGTCCCTTGCTGGTTTCCTTGATTCATGTCCGACTCTTTGCGAGACATCCGCAGCTTGTGAATCTGTGTAAGTGGAGCGAACTCTCTCCAACGGGCGCTAAAAGTGAATTTGCCAGGGCACAGAGCCACGATCCTGTTGTAGGCCCCTCGGATCTTGAAGCTGAAGACGCTCTGGGTGTCCTCACCTGCCGTCAGTCACCGGACTCAAAGCACCCCCCGCTCCAATTTCACGTCCTTTGTGGGCGAAGGAATATCTGGCTGTTCACAGCAAGGTGAGCCCCTCCGAATACAGCTAGGCACCAAGGCAAAAAGCTTGCATCAAGCGAAGCAAATAGGTCTTCTCCTTGCACACCTATCCAGATCCAAGGCTTTAGCTTGACATCCTAATGAAATGTCTAGATAACTCGAGCCACAGACTCCGGGTAACAGTGAAAGCCTAACCTGAATGCGCGTGGCAAACTAGGAGGACCCGGCTGAGGCCCTCGCGCTTCAGAAAGACCCGGTTCCCAGTGAGCTTCGACAAACTGGGCGCAAAGTGCAGGTCCGTCCGCTTGCACACGTCGTAAACCTCGCTGCGGCACTTGGTGCGAACCGGGGAATTCGTTGGAACCCGAACAGAACCTAAAATCATCAACAAGCCTTTTGTTTGTGTGTATGTGATGATGCCGAACGTTGGATTTTGCAGGACCGGGTTCATTGCAGAATTCCTGACTTTGCTACCCTTGGCAAATGAGTGCTCGCCAGCGTATGCCACTCCCCCATGTTCCGAATATCTCCAACTCGGGCCAAATCCAGACTTGCTACCCGGTTGGTAGGAGGTGCGTTCCATGTTGATCCCAAACTTGTCCCTGCCCTGTCGTGCAAAACTCTTGCATTCTGTTGGCAGTTCCCATCTGACAAAACCGCAAATGGCCGGGACGTGCAAACCCTTCCAAAGTGGACAGCTGGTTGGATTCAAGCGCACGCCCAAGCTATGCCTGATTGGCCAAAGCGCACCACAAACCCTACAACACCATTGGCAAACTCCCGATCGTCCAAGTCCCTGAGAGTTCCATAGGCACACCCGCCTTGGCGTTGAGGATCATGTTCAAGTACTCGCTGTTACTTGGCAGCGCCCCGAAGTGCCTGACACCGGCCAGGCACCCCAGGCGCCATCGGGGCACCACTGCCGCCATGGCAGCGGCTTCGCGCCCAGCTTCCCGTCTCTTTGGATGCGGGCTCTTCTGGGGCTCAAAGGTCCTGTTGCTTTGCTCAGGCCTTCTGCAAGCACTTGTTACCTACCTTTTCCTGGAGGGCCGTATCTGGCATTTTGCCCTTGCCAGTCACGTTGTTCTGGCCAAATACTACACCCTCCTTGTGCCTCTGTCCTGTCAAAACACTGGAGCCAGGACATCCACTGAGTTGACCCGTTCCTCATTGGCCAACTGCCGACAAACATCTATTCTCATTAGATCTATCCAACACACAAGCAGTCACGCTCAAATCTTCTCCCGGGTCCTGGTGCCGGACCGGCCTTAGGTGCAGGTTGCCTTGCAATCACCTGCCACCCCCAGCCAGAAAGCGCTCACTAGCCGTCAAGAACTGCAAAGAGCGCCAACCCGGAGCCAGGAGGTTCTGAGGCTTTTGGGGATATATACTCCTTGGCCCTCGGGCTTACTATTTTGCTCCAGATCTTACTTTTGCGCTTTGGGACATTCATGGAGCTTGCTTAGGGAGCCTTTACATCGGTGTCTCTGACCGTTGGGAGGAATCCAGGAGTTGCCTTTTGGCCGAGATGGCCCCATCCCCGCAGAAAGAACAGCAAAACACCCTGGCTGGGATGGGATGGGGGCCATCTTATGGACATTGGACAAACACGCGCGAGTTTTCCGCGACTATGGGGGGGACTTTGTGAGTCCACAACTTCGTCCAACAGGGTTCCATGAAAAGTCCCCCACTTACATCTTGGCGCGGCGCGAGTACTCGGTGGGCATCTCTGCCTGTGGGTTCCCATCAGTTTCCTCCACGTTTCCTCCCAGTTTCCAGGACATTTCGAAGGTGTTGTCTGGGTTCCAGCCCTGAAAAGCAGGGAATGCGCGTAAGAAAACAAGCACCACAAAGTACCCTCCCATCCACGTTGCAATGAAACTTAGTTTGGGCAACTGGTGTTTTTGATGCTAGTGGACAAGCCAACATGTGCTGCCAATCTAGGTCTGTGGGGAGGGGGGGGGGGGGGCAAAACCCAGGTGGAAGCTGCAATGGGATCTTTAGTAGAACCAATTCCGAACCAGCGGATCCCCAGCGCTCTCTTTGTATGTTCTTTCCAGAGCGCACTGCGTCCCCAAGTGGCCCTGCCACAGGCGCACAGCGTCAAGCAGAGCTTGCGGCTATTGAACACTGGAGCCATCGCCAAGCTCCGGCATGCAAATGAAACTGACACTCAACTCATCCAAAGCTCTGTAAAAGGAAGTTTGACTTTCTGCCTGCCTGTAGTTTGGTCCTCTCCAAATGTTGCAAAGTCAAGCGTCACAGAATGCTGGGCTCAAGAGCGGGGCCTTGCCTTTCCCCCAGCAGGCCCCAGCCCAACCCGCTCAAAGGCCAAGCTTTGGGGGCTGCTGTGCCCACTCATTTTCTTTAACCTTGCATCAAGCACTTGTTGCACACTGCGTTTGAATCTGGCAACCTCGCAACCTTGATGTTTCCATCCAATCCATGCCTTGGACCTCAGGCATCTGGCCCTGCCGGATCAGTCCAGGAGCCGGGGCCGCATGGTGCGGCGCATCGCCCAGGGCGCCACAGCCCCACCTAAGAACTCCATTTGTGATGGCCTTTGGGCGGGTTCAAAGAGGACATCCATCCTTCTCTTCAGAAAAATTGCAACGGAGAAATGGTGTCTGGAATCAACCCTTTGACAGCCGCTCGGAGATTCTCCACCTACCAAAATAGCCTTTTCCAGCTGGCACTCAAAGGGAATTGGCAGGCCATCCACCTGAACAGTACCCCCACTTGATGAACCCAGTCGAAAGAAGACACGCGCTCCGGGTATGGTTCCAAAGCAACACACTTCGCTCTGCAGAAAGCTAAAACATGCAGCCCCATCGCCGCTGATGTTGCCACTGCCAATGGATTTTCGGCCGGAAAATGTATTTGTTCGGCAAAATAACCTAGATTCTCAAGTCGCTTGCTTTCGGAAAGTCTTGCCAGGTTGTGGGGAAATCCGCATGGTATGCAGGAAGAGGGGAGCGGGGAGGAGTGTCCACTTGCAGGCTGGATGGGGAGCCAGGGTCCAAAGATGTGGCTTTGGGCATGCGAAGCCGAATGTTTTCTCTGCTTCATTCCGAGTACAAAAAGAAAATACCTTTAAGACTGTAAGAGATTCATTTCAAAGGATTTGGGTTCAGGAAGAGGGCCGAATCGGTCTGAGTTGTTTGGTGCGTACAACTCGCCCGTGAGGCTGACTACCTCCCAAGTGCTAAGGCCGAATGGAAAGGGACCCCACTTTCTACAAGGTGACCCACCCAATGGCCTTCGGTAGCTCCCGCCTGTGAAGCGGGGCGGCTGGCTGGGCACAGGTTCCTGACAGCCCCACCCAGGCCCCACAACTGGCGAGTGCAAATGCCTCACATTTCACTGGGGTGTCACAAAAGCCTGCTGTGCTGACACCCGATAAGGAAGGGCCCTTCTTGAACACCGCGCCCTCTTGCATGGGGAGCTCACTAAAGGGGGATCCTGTTTTGTTGGCTTCAAGTACTGTATACCTTTTGGTGTCTGGGCAACCAAAATCCAGGCTGGGGGGTCCGAGAAAAACAAATGTATTCTTTAAGAGCCTCCACGCCATCTTTGTACCACATGTTCTTCAGGTCAAGGGACAGACGATTTGCCAAAAAATCGATGATAGGGAGGTAGGTAGGTGCTCCGTTTGTTGGACAGGTGCGTTGCTCAAATGCTCGGGGAGGCGTGCCATGCTTGAAGCTAGCGAAGCAACGAAAGGCATTATCCACTGTCCTTTCCCCATGCTCGCGCCTGGCTCTTCGTCTGACCTGCTGGTGCCTTAGCAAAGGAAGGGGCAACACATGAGGTTCGGTCAAACTATCCAGTATCATGTGGTCAATTTGCAGGCGGGTCACAAAAAATCCAACTACAAACACAGGACTGACTAATTCTCCCAGAACAGTATGATTTCACCATGGCTCACATAGGAAGAATCCTCTTGCAAACTCATCCAGGGACAAGGACATCTGTTCCCAAAGGGGAACTCGGAATAATGGTGAATGTCCGACCAACCAATGAATCTCCGCCGGCTTTCCAAGATGCAGCGAACCGGCAATAGAAGCTTGGATTCCAGACTGCATTGCATTCCTTTGCAACATCCGTGATTTTGAGCTTGTATTGGAGACCCATTGCATAGAAATCACCAGAACCGTTTGTCTCAAAACTCACAAAGCCCCCATGGGTGAGTGACTCGGGCTGTCCTTTCTCACCTTGACGGGTCCACGAGTTTGCATTCAAAAGATCGCTCCTTCGGGGTCATCGCTCAACTCATGCAAAGCACTTCCGCCACCCAATGTGCACCACAGAGTCCTTGAGGGATGGCCAGGCAAACATTATGACCATCACGTTGATCCAGGATTCATAACCCCTGGTTGATCACTTGAGGAGCGGGTGAACGAAAGCTAGCAGTTTTTGCGTGAGATGGGTCGGTGACAGAGTGGATTCATAGGTAGCTTGTGTACAACGAGAGGCCCGGCAAGATTCGTCGGATGCGACACGCAAACGCACATGGTGGCGTGGCAAACCTTGAAAATGAAAACAACGAGAGGCGTCAGAAGCTGTCTTAAAGCACCTCTGGGTTCTGCATGCTGCGTGTGCAAAGATTCTTGCGAGGTGGTTTACTGAGAAGACTGAGGTCTCAAATGAACAAGCTGAATCGGTGGAACATGTAAAAGTTCGTAGCACCAAGTCCAAAACGGGCAAACCGAGACTGCTGAAACACTGAGCCACTGCCCGGGGGGAGGGGTGGACCAAGGAGGAATTGAGCCTGAGACGGGGGGGGGGGGTGAGGCCCACTGCCCCAGGTGCCTATCCCCGGAGGGAACTGGAACCCTGTGGTAGTTGAGGTCGTTGTTGGTCCCTGGATCTATTCCGGAGAGAGTCCAATATGCCAATAATGGATGATTGGAGGATGGATTGTCCCTGGTGGATTGTCTGATGGATAAATCCTGTAAGCGGCCTGCAATGGCTCTTTTGTCCTCACGCTCGGATGGTCGTGATTATGCAAAAGGGGCCTTGAGCCAAATGTTGCGGGAGATCAATGGTCTGAAAAACAGAACACAAAACAGACACAAATTTCTTGTGATCTCCAGCACAAAGTATGAAATACTATTGGCTTCATGGCCTTTGACCGTAGCCTTAATGTGCCGTAGCCATGTGATTAAAAGAGCCGGATTCATCCTTTTTCTGCTGGATGAAATGTCTTGGCCTTCGAAATGGGAAACACTATGTACGCTTCTTTTTGGATACCTAATTGTATCAAAGGGTGATGTACAACGCTATGTACACGCGAAACAATTGTGAAACTATTGATCACTCACTCATGGTGTAGTATTGTAGACGAGGAGGATCAATCATCTGGATTGCTCGTGGTGCTGAACGTATCTTCATGGTCAGTCGGATCGACGATACCATCGGCGACTGCTGTCGGATTGACTGCCATGGTCTCCATAATCATTCCAGGTCGAACTGCTGTAGTCCTTCCACTGCTTCTGATATCCCCACTGCTTGTTGTAGTCCTTGTACTCCTGCGTGGTCCAGGATTGTCTCTTCTTGACGTAATCCTGGTATCTCTCAGAGCTGCGTTTGCTGGTTGCAGATTTGCTGCGGATGTAAACCATGAGAGGACTGTGGGAGTCGGAGTCCTGCGAGCCGTTCATGAACATTTCATTGTTCACGTGCTTGTAGCGCTCTGCGGATGAGACCTGGTAATCGAAAATGGCCTTGTTCGGATGGTTCCGCATGAATTCCAGTTGTTCATCATCCATATTGTTCATCTCGATCTTCCGGAACTCCTGCTGGATGTTCGTTTTGCCCCATCCAAATACGATAGTCATCATCACATCTGGGAATGTTCGATCAAAACCTGATCCGCATTTCATGTACAGGTGATGACGGACAATGGATTTCAGGGTGCACGAAGTCT